GCCATATCTCCGAGTTCTGAGTGGGCGCATGTCGCCAGTGTGCTGTGCTGCTGTTTACATACATGAAAAGTGTGAATAAGACGAGTCTGATTGCACTTTGCTGTATAAGACTTGAATTTCGGGACAATTTCCGAAGTGTGCTCATCTTGTGTTGATTTGCTCATGTGTGGAGCTTGGTGTGATGAAACGTGAACTTGTTTTGGTCTGAGAAACAGTGTGGACTTGTGGGCTCATTGCAGGGCGTTATTCTTGTACCGATTCAGGTAGAGGCCAAATCGTTGACATTCCAGGACGCCGCCGAGAGTCCAGGTTCCCTTGGCCTCACTGAGTAATGCTTGGGTTGAGCGCCCGTATGTCTCTACTTGTCCGTTTGGCCGAGTCAAACCTTCCTTCCGTCTTCCTCCATTATTTGCAGTGATAGTGTCCTATTCTGTGTTAATTGTAGAGTTTTCTCAGGGCATACTCAAACCAGGACATTCTGGGACCTCTGTGACCTTGACTGCCGCCAGATTCATTCGGAATAGATCCTAGTCTGAGTATTTCCTTAGTTTTACTGGTCTTGAGGTTATTTTGGCCTTGGTCAGTCTTGGATCAGCACATCTTGTCATCATTATTATTTGCTAAAGAGGGTCCATATTTGATGTGCAATGTTTCGATGATCCGCTTGCTGGTTACATTGAAGAGAATGCAGCCTGTGCAATGACTTGCTGTTTTCTGGTCGCCTGTAGCCTCTCTGTGTCGAGGCTGTACTATAGGTAGGACAGATTCACAATTTTGTTTTGCTGAGGGCTAACTGAGAGACCTACCTGTGAGGGAAATTCGTGAGGGACATATCTGCAAATTCGGGAAAATATGTAGTCCCGGTACTAACAGAATTCCCTACAGCTACCCTTACTGCGAGCAGGCCCGGGCTCATTTGGGTTATTAGAATTTGTGCTGTTAATCATCCTGAAAATCCTGAAATTTTGATGAAGTTGTTTTTTGGCAAAATTGCCTGAAAATGCACTTTTGAGTTGGTGACGGCTCAGCGTGCAAGGAGACAGGCATAGCCAGACCTTCGGAGCGCCGGCCATAGCTGGGACCTGCGCTGTACTCTGCCAGCACGCTGGGCTGACAGAGGTCTGGGCCATCGAGGGTGGTGGTGCTGCAGTTATAGCTGGAGGCAAGAGAGATTGGTGCCCTGCTAGACCCTCCTCCCGAGTGGGGTTCCAGGGTGGTGGTGCAGCAGCCATAGCTGCAGCTTCCTTCTCAGAGGTCATCTTGTCAGGGTTTGGTGGCGCTGCTGCAGACTTCCACCCGGGACGTCTTCCGACACTTCGTCATCATCAGATATTGTGGCGCTGGTCTTCGTCTTCATCCTATGAGTGGCGCTTGGCCTCAGAGGCCTGTTTGAGAGTGGCGCTTCCCTCAGGAGGCTGTATTTGGGTTGCGCTTGACGTCTCAGGGGCTCAGGGGTGTTACGGGTGCTAATCAGGGTTGGGGAGTGAGGCGCTGCTCTTTTCTGAGTGTAACTGGGTTTGGACTATCATCGTTTCATTGTTTCCTGGATGTGATCTGCTCGGCTTTTCTTTATGACCGGTTGTGAGGATTGAGTGGAGTGAAGTGCACTTTCAGTGTACCCTGTCATGTCACATGGTCAAGTCTTCCGCTGTGTTTCTCTCTCCTTGTGCGGTGTGAGACTCCTATCCTCTCCCCTTCCTTCTGTGTATGTATGGGCATACCTGGAAGTCTATGTGAGTGAGTGCTGGTCTTAAGACAACAAACAACCGGAATCATAACAGTTGGTATCGGAGCTATTTGATCCAGACTCTAGAGCGATTGGTGAGTTGGAGCACCCATCATCATCTGGCGAGATACTGGAGTCGAGTCTCATGGCGATTCATCATCTTCAGGGTTGTTGTCAGTAAGGGTGGTGGTAGTGAGTGTGTGGCGAGAAGAATTGGACAGAGGGTGACTCACTCTTGACTAGGGTTGTGCAGGAGTGATTGGCGATTGATACTCAGACGCTTGAGAGGCTCTGGGAGGCTATTTTTAGCCTGGCGATTCATCTGGAGGCTGGCGATTGGCAAGGGAGTGACTCTAGGAGGTTGCGATTGTGGTTTTGGGTCAGGATCCCCAATTTCCAAGCAGCGCAGTATTGGGCGATGTGGCGCTGCACTGACTTTGTCAGTTATTGGCACCTGGGAGTCCGAATTCTTTGAATTTGTCAGTTGGGGGTGAAGCGCCTCAGGGTAATCTACCGAGGTACATGGGAACACTGGATACTGTCAAGAGATGAAACTGGCGAGATCGGGTTGACCAGTCAGCCATAGCCAGGGTTTCATGTATCTTCTTTAAAAGTTGACCCTGAAGTAAGTGTGTTCCATACTCCATCCTGTGTGGCGATTTTGAGTCTATTTTTAGAATAGAGAAACTTGGTCTGTCTGTCAGGTGTCAGGTGACAGTTGAAAATCGAAATTCAGACTGTGGGACAGCCATATCCAACTTCCCCTACCTATCTTCTTTGACTTCTACTAACCCTGTTTGACCTTCTTTCTTACTCATATTTCATCTGTGACTGCTTTACAATATTGCGATTGACACTATGTAGTGAATTGGTGAATTCAGGGTCCTGTCTTCAGTGATAATGCAAATTTGAATTCTGCGCTGACATAGCTAAAGCTAGGCTAGTGTTATGAACTTGGTTGTCTAACGATTTTTACCGCCACTCACACACAGRCAGTCCCATACACGCCCATACATGCATAAGAGAAGGGGGGGAGGAGACAAAGTCCAAACTGTACACAGATCAGAGTAAACAGCGAAAGTTCAGCCATGCACAGATGGGGAGAAGACACCTTGGGTTTCTCACTC